TCAGCTAAGTTGTTGTGGGTGTGTATGAAAATAGGAATCCATACGTTAATGATAGCTACATGTAATAGTCCAGTGAATGTTGCTAATGAAAGCACCAAAGATGAATTTTGGGAAAAAGTATGCAGCATTTTGAATAAATATAATTCAGGAGAAAATGTTTAGGTTAGATGACATCAATATATGGTGAAAATGAGACAAGAGAGTACAAAAATGTGGCTGGTTACTTGAATTGAATGGCAACTGATAAGTATTTGCTTAGAAAATGGTCTATTGGTTTTGAATGTGTTAATGAAAAACAGTCTGTCTAAGGAGACATATTTATTTTTCTCTAAAGTCTCATAACCCAAGTTATTCCCAAGACTTCAGATAGTTTACATAAATATAAAGCAGTAAAGATCATCATACAAATATGACATAGCAGAAATACCTTTAAGAGATAATAGCAACTTCTGTTTAGTGTTATAATCCAGATGGCATATTTCAAAGACAGGTCTTGATAACCTGACACACAACAGTCCAACTTATTTCAGGGAGAAGCAAATTTGATATGACTGGTGTCATTATCTCTGAAGATGGCCCTTAAAGTATACCCAGAAATATTCAGGCAGCTAAAATAATGCTGCAACATTGGTACTATATTAGTCACTGCATTTCGTACCAGCTGAAATTTCTAAGTTCCCCTCAAGGGCATCTCAGGTAAAGTGTGCTATAGTCTGAAAAATAATAGGGATGTATACATTAAATACATAACGTAGTTTAAATCTAGTATGATTTCCTCACAAATTTTAAAAAGTATTAAAAGCAACACTGTGTACAAATCTTTTAAAATTTATGTCCTGGGAGGACCCTTTTTAGCCTTAGATTGTGATACTTATGTAGACTATATTGAATTAAATTAAAGACTAAAGACCATTATATTAAAGTAAAAAGCTAAATGTTTTCCCTACTAGTAGTGTCTGACTCTCGGCGCAGTGCTCATCTCTGATTCACAGCTGAAACGCCAGCACTACCAAAGGCACATGGAACACTTTTACCTTCCCACTGAAGTGGTACCTATTTATTTACTTACATTTACATGCTTTCAAGTTGCTAGGTTGGCAAAAGCTGGGGCAAGTAACTGGAGCTCACTCTGTCACATGGCAATTAGTTCTCAAACTGCTGAATTGCCGACTTCCTGTTGACAAGCATCTTAATTGTTTGGCCACTGTGCCCCTTATTAGAACAGGCCAACTAACTGGAAGAAGCCAACTAGACTACCAAGTTAGTCTATTGTGGTTTTTGTGGGTCAGGTAATATTCCCTGCTATCTGCCTAGTCTCTTCATTCATCTTCACCTCTTGGGCATCAAGGAGAATTTTGTTTTATATTTCCTGTACTGCATTGTCCATATCTTTCCTCACCTCAATCAGCCTCCTGTCTTTCATTCCAGATTTGAGTAGAGTACAGTTTAATGTCTAGCTTATCATTCCCAACATTAATGCCATCCAACCATGTATCCAAGCTGGCAAAGAATTCTGGTAGTTGTGGTCCAAATATGTGTGGTAGGCACCAGTGTGGGAAAAATAGTGTAAGGCATTGTTAAGTACCACTTAACTAACGAAGTTAAGAAGTGGGAATCATATGTATTTCAGACAAGCATCTTTAATGGGAAAAATATCTTGAAAACTTCAACACCACATAGATTGAAAGCCAGCCAGGTAGAGTCTTTCTGAAACATTTCCTTCTTATAGTCCCCACCTCTGGGATGGCTACCTCTTCTTGCACTTGGTGAATTTCTTTTCTTCCCTGACTGTTCCCAGTCTTTTATGTGTACTGCCATAGCAAAATTCGTATCAACAATATCAACAACAAGTATCTCTCTAACCCAATATTACAATTTCCAGAAAGGGCATCTTCTCTGAACAGTGTCAGGGAGTTCTGTTGATGTTTTAACTAAAGTTCACCTTTCTATAATTTCAAGAAATTGTATGTCTCCAATGGAACAAACATGCATGAAAGACTTTTTAGCAATGTATACTAGGTGTATGTATGTCTTTAAAATGGCATGCAGTTTAATCCTAAGCATGTATTTTATCAGTAGTGGGATTCAGAACTGCATAGTAAAGGTATAGCCTCTAACACTGCTATTCACGTGTATGAAATATTATTTCAGGCAAATATGCTATACAATAGTAGTGACACTAAGCTAGCTGTCCCATTAAATTTGCCACATCTAACATTTTAGTTTAAGACCAAAATGTGGCTAACTTAAGCTGAATCCATTTATATTTTTGCAACTATTTGCTACCATGATTGTAGCAATTTAACATTTCAGTTGCTTCAGCAGCTCCTGATCTTCAGCAGTATAACATCCCCTCATTTGAAAAAAAAAATCTCAAAATGACAATGTTTCATATCTCCTTTGAGAGCCAGTTTGAGGTAATGGTGAAAGCTGGAAACCTGGAGACTACGTGTTCTACCTAGTTTTACCTTAAGCACAAAGCCAGATGGGTAACTTTGGGCCAGATAATGTTTTTCAGCCCTAGGAAAGAGCAATGGCAAACCATTTTTAAAAAACCTTGCCAAGAAAATTGTCCAGATAGTAGTATTTGATTGAAATGAAAGGGGGGGGGGGCAGAAGCTCTTGATTGTTGACAAATATTGTTGTCTGTGCAATTGTTGCATTGATTTGTTATGGATAAGTATATTGTTTGATCATATAAGTGTGGTTATTTTTATACTTTGCATGCTCTTTTAATTATTTTTAGCTGCTCAGAGTCATGAACTTGAGATGGGTTGCCATTTAAATTGAGATAAATAAACCTTAGATTATCCATTGTTCCTCATTTAGAAACTGTTTTAACACAATCTCTCATTCCTTACCTTGAAACCACATAGCATCCTTGGACATAGCATCTGATGCTTATTTTATTTGAACTCACACCCTGTGAGAGTAAAGGATCCTTGTAATAGAACCCTGTTAAAGGTCTAGATAGCAAACGCAGAACCTGGAAACCTGGACGTATACCAGTCCTACGGGATCAAAATGAAACACAATTTAGTATGAGATTTTTTTAGGAGTGCTTTAGATAAATACTGACAAGACAGCCATGCACAGAGATACCAAAAGGTAATAATTGGAGCATCTCAAACTTATTCTGAGCTTTTCTGGTTTTTGACACGGAGAAATCTGAGAACACAGCACATTCCTCTCTACCTGTCTGCATGACTCAAGGAAAAAAAAAAAGGAGCATGGATTTCACTGCCGGGCTGCAGTAGAAAGATATTGACAGTGCTGCTGTGCAAAACAGCCTTGCAACTCTTTGTGTTCTCAACTTCTCACTCAAGATGAAAGATTTTTTTTTTTGGGGGGGGAAGAGTTATTTTCATCAGATAAAAGCATCTGCAAGGACTGTTGAATTGTGCAAGCTCAATACGTTCCATAACTGTGCAGTGCCAGAAGCTTTTTATTTTTCTCTTGAGGTGGCATCCCTTTTAAAAAAAGACAAGAACGGCTGTCTGCACTGTAGGTAATGACCAGCATGTTGAAAAGGAAAGAGGAGATTTTTTAATAAGGGGGGGGGGGAGGAGACATTGACTTGCAGATTGTACTTCCAAAGAGTCCTTCTAATCTAAAGCAATACTTTAGATACCCAGGGCAATCTTCCCTCCACCCCTCCCGTCCCCAGGATGACTCAGCCCTGTTTCACTTCAGCTTCAATTTACCATTTTGGTAGCTTATTTACAATTTGGCAGGGAACTTTGTTTGTATTTAAGGTAAGAGTTACCAAAGAGACGGGAGAGGGCAATGTAGTAAGGTCTATCTCACGTGCTCAATGAAAAAGAAATAAAGAAAAAGAACCTTTTCTTTCAGCGTCTGTCCCAGGCCGGCTCTCCCTCTCCCCAAGCCACAGTAGCAAAGCGTAGCTTGAGATCTTGCCCATCCTTTAATAAGGGGATTCCTCCACAAGGCCAAATTAATAATTTATTCCTCGGCTCCAGCAGCCACTTAAACTTGCATTGATTTCCTTGTGCGGCATTTCCTTTCTTCCAACCCCCACTTCCAACCTCTCCATTTCAGCCAGATCTCTTGGATCTGGCTCTATTGCAGCCAAGATTAAAAGCGAGAGGTCCATCCGGACTACTCAAGGACGAGGCGATGAGTTGACCAGACGGTCGAGTTCGGACAAGAGGCCCGCAGGTTACCCTAGAAAAACGCAGGAAGGCAGGGACCTTGTGTGCGCGCCTTCCTCGTCTCTTCCTCTTCCTCCTCCCCCTCCCGTGCTGCGACTTGGCCGCTCTCCGGGCGGGAGAGGTGAAGCGATCCCCTCAGCCCTCCCTCTCTCCACGGCTGCGTTAACAGCTGTCGGCCACGCAGCCGCGCGCTGCCTGAAACTAACCCGCAGCGGGGACAAGCCAGGGCTGTCTTTGCGGCGCTCGGGCTTTTGCAGCTTTGCCGCGCAGACCCGCGCGGACGCACCCGGCCACCTGTCTGGCCTCGGAACTTACTCGGTTCCCGCTTAGCTTCGGCGGGCTGATTCCCCCCTCCCTCGCTTCTCCCCCCCCCCGTGAGGGCTGCATGACGGCGCACGCCGCCGCTCCCTGGACAGCTTCGCTTCGCTCCTCTCCGCTCTCGCCGCCGGCGAGAACAAGACTGCGCGGGAGCTTCGCGGCGCTGTGAATAAAAGGCGCGCTGGCTGGCTGGCCCGCTCACACGCACGGGCGCGCGATACAAAAAGCGGGGGACCCCCACGAGCGGCGTTGCCTTCCGACCAAAGTGAACGGGGAAGAGAGGCAGGCGAGACTCTCCCGCCTCAGCGCTTGCCCCGTCGACGGCAGCAAGACACCCCCCTCCCCCATTTTCCCCACCGTCGAAGCCCCGCCTGCCTCACCACGCCGGGACGCTGCCAAGCAGCACGAGGTCCGAGAAGTAACTCCGGCGGCGCCTGGCGTTCGCCGACTGCAGAGTTCAAGGTTTTGACGGCCCGAGCGGCGACCAAAGGGGCGAGCCGCAGTGCTGCCGCCGGACCACCACCAAAGGCGCCGAAGTTTTCGGGTCCGCCGAGTCTCCTTTTCTTCGAAGGCGGGAAAAATAAAGATGGTGCCGTGACTGCTCCCCGGCCGGCCTTTGCTCCGCTATCGGCCCCTTCTCTTGCCGCAACCAACTCCCTTCGAGCGGCCGAGTCCGCAGAAGCTTCCGAAGCTCGCGAGTGAGGGAAGGAGAGCCATGTCGGAGAGCGGGCGCCCGCTGTGGACTCTGCCTGCCTTCCTGGCTCTGGTCTGGACGGCGGCTAGCATCAGGCACGCCGGAGGAGCCGGTTCGGAGCAGCAGATCCCCTTGTCTGTGTGAGTGCCGCAGGCTGCATGGAAAAGTCCGCCGGCCGACGATTGGGACGGGTGGGGAGAGACTTCTCGTGGGTTGTTTTTGTTTTGGGACGGGGGCAACGCGCTGGCTTCCCACCAGTTTGCCTGACAAGGGACCCCGCTGGCAGAGCTTTTCGCCGTATGAACTTTCGGCTGCGGCGCGGACTAGCTCCAGACGCTCATCCACTGCGGTCCCGTTTCATATCAGATGATCGGGGATAAGTGATCTTGCAAAAGCGGATCTAGAGTCCCCCGTCGCTGTATATTTATATCCTGTAATTTCTCCCTCTCGTGCGTTACGGATAAGTTTCTCTTGAAGTTTGGCCAAAAGAGGTCCGACTCACGCCTTGCCTGGCAGAATAGATGGACTTTGAGGGGGGGGGGCGGTCTTCACTTCGGAATCACCACAATGTTGTTTTTAAAGGGGAACATCTGGGCACTGACAGTTAAGATTCCAGCGTGTATTTATCGGGGTCTGCCTGTATGAGATGTTGTTTACCGAAGTGCGTAATTTCATTTCCCTTTTCAATATATGTCTCTGCCTGTTTTCCTCCGTAGGGTAAAACTCTGGGCCTCTGCTTTCGGTGGGGAGATCAGATCCATTGCAGCGAAATATTCAGGTTCCCAACTTCTGCAGAAGGTAAGGATCCCTCTAGCTGTAGCTCACCAAAAGATTAATTCAAATGAACGCTGAAAATGACAGAGGATTTGGGTACTAAACAAACCAGAGGAAGAGCAGCTTTCATCTGGATATTTCCCTCTGTTCAGCGGACAACACTTTTAAACTGCCTGCTGTCTCTTTTCTGCTGGCAGAAACCAGAGTTTTCATCAGGAGAGGGGGGTTATTTTTAGATTACAGCCTGCCCAATGACTTTCACTATCTCAGGTGAAGCTATTTAGAATGTTGCCGGTATTGGTTTTGATTCCAGATTATGAAGCTAACCTCAGTTGTCTCTTGTTCTCATCACACACATGCATTGTTTTTTTTTTGAGGAAGGAGAAAAACTGGAAATAATTATGCTGTTTTGTTTAGTTGTACTTTTCTGCAACATCAACAACAAAAAGATTGACTATTGCTTATCACCTCTGTAATTCCTCTCCCCCAAACTATTATTCTTACAGACATCTCAGGTCAGTGTTGGGATGTATCACATCATTACAGATAAGGAAAATGAGTGTGGCTATCTCTGTGCTCAGCTGCATAGCTGGATAATAAGGTTGTAAAATAGTGCAAAACCTTCAGAAATTGGGCTAAGCCTCCAGAAGTCTGATGAGTAAGGAGGATAGAACATTATTAGACCTTTTATAAGAACCTGCATGTAAGATCACTTAAACAAACCTTACACTGAAACTTCGTTGTTCAATTAACATGTGTTTAAATATAACTGTTGGTGAATACAAAATAAACGGGAAATCCAGGGTGGTGATGGGAGACTGTAAAAAATGTTTCAGAATTACAGTTTCGTGTGATTTGAAAATATAAGTTTAGAGACAAAGTTCAGATTCAAGACTGAAATGATTTGATCAGACTTAAAATATTTTTAAGAAAGATATTTAGCTTTAAGCTAAAAATAGGCCGTGTGTTTTTGTTGGAAGGGTCTAATACAATTCCTATCAGTGAGCTGAAACACTTTCTTATTCATGAGGAATTATCTGGCAAGCTTTCCCCTATTGCACTGGTGAGGCAAACAACAAACTTTTATGGTTCAGTAAGTGTAGCTGATGCAGTAAACCTAATGATGATTGTGGAAACATAATAATCAAACACAAAAGCTCCTTGTTTTTGTTCTTTAGCACAAAGGTGATTTGATTAGGATAATTTGCAATACCAATTGCTGGGATTTATAAGTATCATTGAAATAATTTAAGGTACTCTTTTCAATCCCCACGGGATATTCTACATGTTTGGGCATCTGAAATGATATCTACTTCATAATCAAAATGTCTTCTTTGCATGCTGTGAAAGAAAATCTCTTCTGAATCAGGATAGACACGTATACTGTACAATGGCTAATTTCTATATCACAGCCAAGTCTGAGATTATTGAAAGATGCACCAAGTTTAAGAAAATATTGTCCCTGGGTATATCCTTAGTTAAAATTTTAATTTTGGAATTCTGCCTTAATTTCCGTCTTTTATAAGGAAAATCTCTGACTGTTTAACCATTGGATGCTCATTTTCTACACATTTCATAGCAAATCAAGAATGCAAAAAGTTACCGTTATAATAATTCTTTTCTCATTTACTTTAGAGCCTTCTGAAATGTGGAATATTTGTAGCAGTCAGATGCCTTTCTTTTGGTTGACGTATTGCAGTGTTGTAATTAGAAACTATTACTATGCTCATTTTACATTTTCTTTATCATTTAATTTCATTGGCTAGACAGTTTTTCAGCAGCTTGACAATACTGTATTTAATTCCCATCTGGAGATTTTTGTTTTTGATGTTGATACATTACAACTAAATGAAACAGGAAATACAAATGCTGAGGTTATTTGTATTCAAGGTTGTACAGCTGATGGTATATTTATGGTGTCCTTGGCTTTGGTTCTTTACTTTTAGATATTTAATTCAATTTTATTTTAATGTCAGTTTTTCTGTATTCAATCTATACATTTTTGTAACTGCAGAACTAAGGTAACTGATCTCTGTTACATATAGCTTTTATAATCATCACATTTTAAACATTGATATATAAAATATGTGCATTGTGTTTTTGGATGTATCAGAATTTAAGCTTTCAAATCATAAACATTAACTGGAACAGCAGTGATCAAAACTATTATCGCAATGTCACAATCTCACAATCTGAAATGTGAAACTCCCCAGTACTATCTGTTGGCTAGGAATATATCTGGTTTTACACTGTTATACATTAACACAAGTGTTACTTTATCTCTCTCCCCTATAAAATAAGAATAATAAAAATACTGAAAATCCAGATATCACATTCAAGGGGTCTTAAAATAAAGTGAAGAATTAAAGTGAGACCCTGGACCATGGAAGTTGATTTTCAAGGTAACTAAATGGTTCAGAAGCATATCTTGTAATTTGTATTTGTGCTTTTTGTCATAAAAGGCAGAGAGTGTCTGTTGGAAATAAAAATTTAAATTTGGTCTGATCTCACTCTTAGGTACATTATTTTATACTTTGCTTTTAGTGGACAGCTTGCATTTCATTTGGAGCCACCGTGTAATATTATATTTTAGGAGCTAAAAATATTGGAAGATAATATGGATATCAATAGCGATGTGTGAGACACAGTACTACATTGCAGCACTGTAGCCATCCAATCTAGAAGCAATGCAGAGAATACTTGGGAGGACACCTTTTCTATTTCTCATTAATTGTTCTGGAGCACCAAGCAAAATATTTTTGGAAATTATTATTAATAATAACAATGATAATATCATCGTCATCATCATCATATATTTTAAGAAGGTACTTGGTTGATACCTAGGATGCTGGAAGCAACCCGTATCAACCATCAGTACCAATCAGTGGTATTTGTGATGCATTTTTAAATGTTCAGTTGACTTGAGTTTCATGTTTAATGAATAAAAGAAATAATAATCTCTATTTTGAATCTACTTATTTGAAAATAAGATTTGCTTACTTTAGCATACTGAAGTTCAAAACCTGAATGATACAAAGAGAAGATTAAGCCCTCAAAGCACTCTTATCAGTGCTACACACCCCATTTACATTGTTTTCTATTAATGGACTACTTTATGATTAGGCTTGTCTCAGTCTGTATAGGCTGCATTCTCAGCTACCCTAAATGTTTTCTTATTCCAATCCTTCTGTTTCCTCTACACAAATGCAAAGGACTATTATTCTTAGACAGTAGTGTCTTTTCATTAAATCCCAAAGTATTCATAATAGTTCCTGAATTCAGTAGGAGAGTTCAAGACAGATTCCTTTCCAGCCAGTACATTTTCATGCTTTAAAAAAAATGTCTCCAAGTAAGTTTGGTGAAAATGCTAGTTTTTCAGTTTCAATTTCAATTGTCATCTAGATTTGGCACCATAAAATAAATCGTCTACCTGCTTAGTTGAGTGAGGCATCCTCTTGACTTATCAAACACTGCAGTTAGGTTCAAATTAAGTAGGGAGCTGTTTTATTTAAAATCAAGTTTAGATGAGCAGATTTTAAACATTCATGACTTTATGTATATTTTGAAAATGTATTTCTTTCAGACTAACACACCTTAAAATGCTGTATTTCCCCAAGTATGAGGCATAATTCACCATGCATAATAACCTTTCAGTTATACAGGGGCATTTCTTATTCTTTTCAGTTATTTAAGTGAACTTCTCAGAGATTTAGGCTCTTCGTGGATATTGAAGATTTGAATGACAATAAGGTTGCATTATAATACTTCACTCTAATAGATAGTGCTTTCTGCATTAAAGGAAGGATTTAAAGATATGGGAGGTTGCTATTTTGCCTGCTGTCAGATGGGTCTGAATATTAACTATTATCTGTGATCCAGAGGTTTATGAGCATTTCAGTTACATTTTATCATGAATAGCTTTTCTGGCAAACAGTCTTCTGTTTGAGCAATAGCTATAAAATGCAAGATGAGATAAAATTGTTTACATTTTCTTAAGTTTGAAAATTATATATAAAGAATGGTAGTTCAGGTGTATTTCACATATTTCTTTAACTTCGCCCTGTTTTCTCATATCTCCTTTGTACACTTTTTAACACATAAACATATTGATACTCTGATAGCATAGAATCCTCCACCTTTATTTTATTTCTTAGTTATGGAAAGGGCTTATTGCATTCATACCTCAGATGAAATCAATTATTTCTGAAAAGCTATTCAAGAATTCTGCTATCGTCCTACCGTGGGCCAATGCAGCACACATTAATCACCTACATCAGGCAGTTGTCTTTGCGCATGAAAAGGGGCTTTTTGGGGAGATGGGGGGGTTTCCTGCCTGCTATGGGGGGTGTTGCCTAAGCTTAGGTCTGTACTGCAGGTGTCTGCCTGGTGCAGGCACTGCTGTATGCTGCTGATAAGGGTGCTTTCAAGACAGTATCAACAAAATTAAATCCACTAGTCTAGGCTTTCTGGAGTTAACGGGACTGGCCCTGGGGAAGCATATGACAAAATACATCATGTTTTCAAGTTAGATATCTTAAAAAAAACATTTTTAATGTCCTTAAAAAAGATCCAGAAGGCAGATATAGGAAGTGATTTGATTGGCTTTCTCTTGTTATTTCGCATTATGGGAGAACTATTAGAAGAATCGTGCAATGTTTCATTAAGTTTAAATATTAAAAACAAAAACATTTTCCTTGTTGAATTCACCAACTGAGATAGCAAAGATAAAAGTTAGTAAAGTTCCATTTGCATACTGGTTGCATTCATACAATGTGCCTCACCATGTCCTGTAAAGATTTTGGCGATATATTTGAATAGCGTGCAACCCTAGCTAGTTTTAAACTTATCTGAATATATTTGCATCTTAGTATGTTATGTGAACTCCAGCCACTTGGTTACTAAATCATTCAGTTCATTGTGTTAACTTAGAAGATGTGTTAAATATATTGAATGATCATAAGTCATATTTGATAAGTTGATGGAGATGGGTTTCTTCTTCCCTTCTTCAAAGATACATCTTGGAT